TTCTTATAAGGCTTGGGCAATCCTCCTTCCTTTGAGCTAGCTTTTGGGGTGTGAGTTAGGCCTAAGACCTAATTTAACATGGTATCAGAGCAGGGCCCGTATCACCTGATGTTGGGACCCCCAAAATAAAAATTGCCCACGCACCAAATGCTAAGCACTGGGCGTGAGGTGGGGTGTTAAAGAATGACAAAAATCCCACATCGGTGGTTAATGAGATGGGTGGACTCCTTATAAGGCTTGGGCAATCCTCTTTCCTTTGAGCTAGCTTTTGGGGTGTGAGTTAGGCCTAAGACCTAATTTAACATCAAGCTCGCTTCTCCATTATTTTGGAATTACTTCAATATAGATTTATTCCTGTTGAACATCAGTCGACTTGGTTGGGCTTTCAACAGCTTGAGAGGAGGAGCAACAATGATTTTGGAATTTTCCCCATCATCATATGTATTATTACTCTTCTCAACCCAGTGGTTAAGAGTCGTCAAATACTACATGAATAGATTCTTTCATGCATATTTAAAGTATGTATACTAAAAGCTTTATAAGATTGTCACGATCCAAAAATAGACGTGATGACACTTGTCAATTCCCATCAAGACAAGTCAGCCTCAATCCAACAACACGAAAGAAATGCGGAAAGATAAAGCAAGAACAAGATAAAAGCGGAAAACTTATTCATTCTATTAACACCTCAATGGATTTAAATAGGTTTTTTGTTGCCTGTCATATGATTCGAACACGCACTATAAAATATCATTATCCTTTTTTACTTCTTGAGGTGTTGTAATTATTTATGTTAGGTACCCAAGTTGAGTAGGGACCTTTGGGGTTAGATTTCAAACTAGTAGAAATAGATTTGAGTCAACAAACCCGTCCGCAAGAATTGGCAAAACGAACTCTGCATTTGTAATGTTTATAACAAGATTTTTCATAATAATAGCAAGACTAAGAAAAGGGCTATTTAGTGACTGACATATGAGTCGACTTTCAATAACTAGGATTGTCATTTGGAAGCTCAAGATCAGTTGACTGGTTTGTCTTGTTCGTAGTGACACTATTATAATAGATTTTACTAGGGGAAGATTTGTAATTAATAGATTATTTACTAGTTGGCTTATTAATATGAGTAGACTGGGACTAATTGATTTGTACATGTCATTAAGTTATTATATTAGCAAATTGTGGTTTTATTCTAAAAGAAAATCATTTTCTATTTCAGAAACTTCAAATTTTAATTTCATAGTTATTCATTTCTATTTGAATAACTCTAAAATCACTAAACACTCGATTTAGGTCAAATATATCATAATTGTTACAAGTTTTAGATCTTAGCTAACTAGATTCTCTGATTTCCATGAAGCATACATTGACCATTTCATCATTCTCATTTTCTAAGTTGTCTTCATTACTCCGACTACTGAGTGATTTGTTTCTTTGATATTCCTTGGAGTATCTCTTCTTTGCTTCTGGACCTTCGTTAGAAATGTGCCTATACTTTCCACAACCATAGTAATTACCATCATTAATCTTGCTTTCTCATAAGAAGTTCTTCTATATATCTTTTAATCTCCAAAATGATTCCACGACTGATCTGGTAATTAGATCAACCTCATCTTCACTAATAATTTCTCTTCTTTATCTTCTTCAATGACTTTGAACGTAATTGTTTTCTTCTTGTTATCTTCTTGCCCTCGTTTGTTGAGATGAACCTTTTTTAAAAGCAATGAGATCCCCTCTCACTTCATCTTATGTAAGAGTATTGAGATTCATGCTCTCAATGGAGACGATCTTTGAATGTTATTGAGGAGGAAAAATTCTTAAAATTCTTCTTATGTGTTCCACCATGGGGTAGGTTTTACATGATGCTTTGATTTACCCAATGATCTTTCTTAGATTAGAAAATATGCTTTCAACATATTCTCCTTCCTTCATTTGGAACAATTCATATTCACACACAAGAAGGCTGGCAATTGTTTTCTTGACTTTATTAGTACATTCATATGTAACTTCCAACTTATCCCATTTTTTCATAATAGTATCACAATCTGATATCTTCTCATATTCCTTACCACAGGTGGAGTTGTATAGCACATTCTCTGCCTTGGAGTTTGTTTGAATAGCCTCAATATATTTTTCTAAACTTAGTAGCTTTGTTGATGTTTGACAATCATCTACTATCTTTTCATCTTTCTTGGTAAGAGGAATAGGATTGTCTCAAAGCATGACGACTATCCACACTCTCACATCATAGAGATTTTTTGAATGTCTCCATTCTTACTTTCCAATGAGATAAATGTTTTCCGCTGATGTACAGAGGCATAAATTGTGAAGTTCCTTCTTAAAATAATGCTCCAGTAGTAACTTTGTTTGGAAGGATGTTTCTCACTTATTGTTAGGAAATAAGTTGTGAGACCTTGCTCTGATACCTATTAAAAATGCAAGAGGGGTGGGGTGGGGTGAATTTCTATTTTTCTTTTCTAAGTCGATTGACTTCAGTAGTTGACTTCTGATAAATCAAAAGCAGTTCAACACAAAGGGAAAAATGAAAGTACGAAAAGTTAATTTGACACCAAATATTTTTATAATAATAGGGATCCTGAATAGATTGTAGTCTAGTCCTCTTTGGTTGCAATTGTGTTCTCTTCTAGTTCGTTGAATTTGTTCTTGTACAGAGTTGGAGTATAGTTCCTATGACTATACTCAGTGTTTTTTTCAGTCGAAATTTTTTTGAGTACATATTATAACCCTAATTCTATGCCAACATAAGGCCACAGTAGATGGACCAGAATTTAGTCATATTTTTGCTTGTAAAATCCAAATTCTCAAAGAAATATAGTGATTGCTTAAACGTTCAGTTATATATTTTATCTCCTTCTATTGGCTTTTTATAATAGTAGAAGAAGTCGTTGGAATAATTGAAGAGAAGAATCGAAAAGATTTGATTCTTAGAAATGAGTGAGTGATTCTGTTTCCATGAATAAAGTAAAGTCATAATTGACTTTCTTGCTAAGATGATTTCATGTGAATCTTTTGCTTCAATGTTTATTCTTTCCAAGAGAAACAATGCTCTCATAAGAGCCAAGATCTTTATGATTTCATGAGTCTCTTGATTTCACCTTCATCTCATAGTCAACTAATTGAATGAAGGGAATTTATGTTACATATATATACACAGATAGCAATTATTTACTTTATATTTTACATTCTCAAAATCATGTTTAATATAAATAATTGTCTATTATAGTACGTAACTTAACTTAGCAATTATTATTTTTATTCTGCAGCGTAAAAGAATAATATCAAATATCATCTCAAGTTATCATGAAAAATCTTTTGTGATGGATTCAAATTTGGCACCACCAAATTCTACTCTTGGATCTTTGACAGATTCGTCTGATGAATGTTTGTTGAGGCAAACTATATGTGGCTCTCCCATTGGATATAATTCTTCTTTTCATCCAGAAAATAATAATGACAATAACAATGTTCGAGCACATTCAATAAATATTAAAAATATCCCAATAATATCCCAATTAGAACAAGAAAATTATGGGTTTCATCATGATAATAATGGGGAGAAATCAGTTATTTTTGAGATAGTTGTTCCTGCTATCAATGAAATGCTTGGACTTGTGTATGTGAATGAACCACTTTGGGTAAAATCATCAGTTGATGAGGGGTGGCTTATTCATCGTGAGAGTTATGATAGAACATTTTCAAATTCAAATCGACCTTATAAATCAACTGCTCGAATTGAATCATCAAGGAGTTTTGGAGTTGTGCCAATGACTGCAATTGATTTGATCAAAAATTTCCGTGATCCGGTAAGTTTCTTAAACATTTTTAAGTTATAACAGTTCAATTCACAAGTGATATTGTTTACTTTGGGCTTAGGCTGATCGACTTTAGAACGTGTCAGTAGGGTCCTAGGCTTGCTGTGTTATATATATAAATATCTCTCATGTGTTTTATATAGTGAATAGTGTGTGTGCTAGTCAACTTTTGGATAGATTTTTGAAAATATAAAGTGTTTAATTAATTTTGTTTTGAAAACTAGCCTCTTTTGATGTGGAAACATACCATGGACAGATATCATGTTAGTGTCATAGATTTTGAACTTGAGAAAGTGAGAGATCCAAAGTTACTATCATTATATTTTGAAATCTAACACACTTCCGTCATGGATTTCAAATTCGTTATTTTCCAATGACTTCAAATTTTTAGCTACTTTTCTATATATCATTTTAATTTTAAGTTGTTCCCATACAATATTGATTAAGATAAGTTTAAATGGAGTGGCAAACATGTACAATGAGTATTTACATAGTCGAGCCCAAAAACAAGAAATTTTTTTAGGCATAATTATTATTGTTTATAATCATTAATCATATGCTGATTGATTTTGTATATGCAGATCAAATGGATGAACATGTTTCCTACTATAGTCACAAAAGCTAGGATTGTTGATGTTCTTGATTCTGGGAATACAGAAGTCTCTATACAATTAGTAAAATATTAATTCAACTTTGAATTTTTTTTTTCCTAAAAATTAAATAGATATTAAAATTGCTTCACAAAATGATCTAATTTTTTTCTGATTCTTGAAAACAGATGTATGAAAAGTTACATATTTTATCTCCTCTAGTGGAAGCTAGAGATTTTGTCTTCATACGTTGTTGTAAACAACTTGATCAAACAACATGGATAATGGTGGATGTTTCTTATGATTTATTCAAAGAGATTAAAACTTGTGCACCTTCTTATGCTTGGAAGTTTCCTTCTGGTTGTGTAATTCAAGATACAGGTGATGGCAAAAGTATGGTAAGAATCACTTTCTCTCTCTGAATATATCACTATTTATATAAAAAGGTAGTTGGTGCACTAAAATTTTACTATGCGCGGGTTCTAAGAAAGGGTCGGACCACAAGGGCACACATATTTATCTTGCATTTTTATAAGAGGTTGTTTCCACAACTCAAACCTATGATAAATATCACTATTTACATGTAGCTTATTTTCCAAGGAATTTATTACATAGGTAGAAGTTTACACGTATGATGCCTATATCGTTGTGTCTATTTCCTAATATGGTATAAGAATGAGACCTATCTTTATTCTTGACTTATCCAATATCAGATCCTCGTGTTATGTTGTTCACACTCCAAATATTTAGCTTTGAATGTGTGTCGCGGCTGTTTAAAGTGTCCCCATTATTCGTTTACAAAATGAACATTTGGTCTTTATGTATATCCTTGGACAATCTTGATAACAACCTTATGAGTTATATTTTGGGATTACATTAGATTCAATAATCATCTTTATAACATGTTCTATGAGATTTGCCAGGCCTATCACTATTCTTAATTTAACAATTAATGTTGAACACCGATCCATATTAGGTTGTTGATGCGCCAAACGTTCAAATATAAACAAGAGAGGATGAATAGTTGTATTCTTCTATGGTCTTAAATAATCCGCACCTTGTAAGATTCACTACTTAAAAAAACACGAATTCGCAATATACATTTCTATCAAAAATGTTTCCAATGATCAAGTTATTTTTATGCTTTCTTGATTAGTTTTTGTCTTGTAGGTTGCATGGATTGAACATGTTCAAATAGATGAAAAATGTCAGGTGAATCATATCTTTAGAGACTTGTTATGTGGACGTCAAACATATGGAGCTGAAAGATGGATTGTTACACTTCAAAGGATGTCTGAGAGATATAATTTTGCAATGCCTGTAACATGTGCTACTACGGATGATTCCCAAGGAGGTTCTGTTTTATATCTCACTCTTTACGTATTTATGATTTTTCAAAATTAATCTATAAGATAAGATAAGAGTCTATGCAAAATGAATCGTCATCTCAAGGCGGCTTTGATTAGAAAAAAAGAAATCTTGATGTGGTTTGAATCCATCCTTTTTTCTTTGTTTATTTGAAACGTCTCCTTCCTTTCAAAAGTTCTTTTTTTGCTTTAAAAGTGTGTTTGGCGTGAATTTTGTTTTTTGAAAAAATAAGTTATTTTTCGATGTTTGACTAGAGAAAATATTTTCCCTCTAAAAGGTCTGAAAAGTGATCACCTCTTTTATCTTTGGGTGAAAGACATTTTTCTTTGCAATTATTACAATTTTTAATTCGAAACATATCCGTAAATTTTTTTTTTTTTTTAGGTATGTGTTTGGATAGTGTTTTTTTAATAAAAAATAAATTATTTTCTACAGAAATATCTTCCAACAAAGAAGCAGGAAAAATGATCACTACAAATTATCTTAACTTTTAACATTATATCAACACCTCAAAACCACTAGGACATTACTATCATCTTTAACACCTGAACATATCATCAAAACACTATCTGATTTGCTAATATTATTATCAAGGATCAATCTTCATTATATTTTTCAAAATGTTTCTTCAAAAAAAAAAAAATTCTAAAAATTTCCTTATGTCACACTAAACACACCCTAATTTGATAAGTCAATATTAATTTTTGCTTTTTTAATGATATTTCAGAAGGGGTGAAAAATGTGATGAACCTATCTCAAAGAATGGTGAAGAGTTTTTGTGAAACTCTAAGCATGACAGACAAATTAGGTTTTTCAACTTCATCACATTTGAATAATGAAGATAGAGTTTCTATAAGAAAAAATGAAGAAATTACCCAACCGAAAGGCTTCATTGCTACTGCTGCTACTTCCCTGTGGGTTCCTCTTTCATTTGAAACTATTTTTAATCTCCTCAAAGATAACAACACAAGATGCCAGGTATGTGTCAAACCTATTTATAATAGTGCTGTTTGTTCATTTATATTTTTGGTTGCTAAATAGCTATGTTGTTATAAAGAACATATTAATATAATATGATGTTGACATCGGCTCCAAAGAAATTAGATGTCATAGCGAAATGTTGTTGTTAAACAAAGATCTTACGATATGTATCTTTGTACTGTATATATTTATTTTTAATGCAGTAAATCGAACATCCTATAAAACATATTTTTTGTACTATCAATTCCTATATAACTTATTTTTTAATCAAACGACCCTTCAAAGTACCCTTATAGATTAACTTTTTTTCAATCCCTGTATTGATTTTCATGTGAAATTCACAAAAATTTCAATAAATAATAAATATGAGAATCTTAACTCATAATATTAAAAGTACAATAAGTTTAGTGTTAATAATTTTTTAAACCATCAAGATAAAGTCATAAATTGTACTTATCTATAAATATTAGGCTCTCAGGCTATCTACGTGCTTAACTCTTAGCATTAACTGTGCATAGTTAATTTTATTTTATTATTTGGTCTTATAATACTCTGATCATGAAATAATTTTTGACAATCAAATTATGATTTTGTTTATCGTTTGATTTTGATTTTTTATTTCTAGTGGGATGTTTTATCTGGTGGAAATAATGTTACTGAGAGGGATCGAGTACTTACGGGAACTTGTTCAAAAAATTATATTACATTCATTCAGGTATTTGTCATATTTATTTATTTATGGTTTGCTATTTTCTTCTTAAATTATCAAATAATGATATTTTACTATATCTCAAGAATTTTTAAAAAAAGTACCTGTGATTTGGATTCATCTTGTTTTCACATGTAAAAATACCAAAATTTCGAACTTGCATCTATTTTCCCCTTTATTTTTTTAATCTTTGATTACTTAATCAAAAGGCATTTTTTGTGGTCTAATTTCACTTTTGAGTGGTAGACAAACTAATTATGATAAATACATATGACTATAAAAAGGACAAGAATTAGTTATGAAATTCATCACTTACTTGTTGCTAAGCTAATAAGATGAAATTAAAGATGAAATTGCTTCCGTTTAGCGTCAAAAATTGTTCGTCACAATTCGTATTTCTTTTTAGTGCTTACACTATTTTTTCTGAAACTGTTTATATGTGTATGTAGACTATGCCAATAGAGAACAACATGTTAGTTCTTCAAGAGTCAAGCATCGATAAAATGGGAGCTTTCTTAATCTATGGACCAATAGATTCAACAACATACACTTCATTTCTCAATGGAGGCGATGGGGAAAAAGTTGTCATTTTACCTTCAGGTATCATCATAAGTCCTGATGGTCGCCTCGCCTCAGACATGAACAGTAATGGAAATGCACAAAATGGATCAATCTTGACAGTGGCTTTACAAAAGTTGATTTGTGCTAATAATTCAATCTCCCAGGACCAACATATGGAGGCAATGGTTTATATTCAAAGCCTTTTGAGCTCTACAGTTTCAAAAATCAAAGCAACATTGGGTTGATCTGATTAAAAATTATGATGAATTAGTTTCATGTTGTTATTTAATTTTATTGGAGATTTTAAACCTTAGATAACGTATTATGTTTGAAGGATGATGTGTTACCCTTTTTGTGACTTATGAAAATCTCAAGACGGTGAGATACGCTATTGCTATTATCTTTTATATTGATAGACTAAATTTTGAGACTTTTTTTGTTCGGTTATTTTATTTTTAGCATGTTTGGCCAAATTATCAAAGTATGCTTACGTAGTGTGTGGTTTTGAAAAGAAAAAAAATTCAAAAAGTTGCAGTTTGAATTTTCTAAAATACTTTTTCTGGTAATTATGTTTGTCCTTTGTCAAATCACAACTTGTAGGCCATTTTTCATTTTCTATGTTTGGTCATAGTAGACAGAGTAGTGTTTTCTTGGGCACATTTGTATCTATTTGTGTCCGTAGTATAAAAATGGCAAGAAATGTTATTTATTCAATTACCTAGATAATGTCTGAGTGGTGTTACATTAGCAAAAAAGGGTTTGATACAACACATTTTTGTAATTACTTGATGATATAATGACCTAAAATCCAGAAGGCATCATAAATTATACAGAAAAAAAAAAGGTTACAAAGAAATTAGCTCTGCCCAACTTTGTCCTAAGTCTAGGCATTTGGCCCTTGTTAAGTTGAAGAGTACTCTTACCTGTCACGCCTCGAGCCTACACCTGAACGTGACCGACACTCGAGAATCATTGTTGATCCCCAAGTGAACCCTTGGTCTTGTTGACTACTTAGCAGAAGACTTACTCAAGCATTTTTAGTTTTAAATAACTGAAGAGAAAATATTTAAATCAATTATTGTATGAACTAACTGAGAATACTAAATGTAACAATAATAGTTTAGCAAAATATTTGTAAATAAATACCGAGAGACTCTCTAAAATTATCTATCTATGAAGCCTCTACTGGTTTAAGATAGGGGTCGGGACAAGACCCACGACAACCTTAAACAACTACTAAAAGTAAACTAAAGACTGGTGTTATAAATTTTATTATTGCAAATCCTATTCAAACATATGTTATAAAGTTGCAAAATTAACTTAATTCATAGAAACTAATATTCTACAAGATCCAAAACACATAACAAACTCCAGAGTGCATAACCAGGTTTAAAACAACCCCAACAATAATTTCCAAGAAAAAAAACTAAAAGTATTTGCAACAAAAATAATATCTAGCCTACAAAATTAAGAGAGATTGGAGAACCACATTAATCTTCATCCGAAACTGATGCATGAGCCTCATCAACATTAGCTGGAGTAGAAGTTACCGGAGTCATATGTGTGCTTGGCTGAGATGAGGTTGAAGAAATCAATCCACGTACACGCTCAAAAAGTACATGAAGCATTTGATCAGTCAGTGAAGGAATCAATCGTGTCATAAAGTCATCCAAATTTTATGTTGCTATTGTTTGAGCATTCGTACATGGTACTGAGGATGAAGCATCAGTTCCAAAAGCTGAGGCACAAAGATTCGTCCCAAAAAATGATTTATCTTGCGCTCCAAGACCATAGATCCTTGTTTTCTATTCCCCTCCCGCGGCTTGATAATATGCTTGCAATTGACAACATCAGATTGAGTTTGTGTTTGATTCTGTAATATTTCTAGATACTTTTCCTCTAAAAAGACAAATAATAATCAGTGAAATTCATTAATAACAACCACAACAATAACAATAAGCCAAATCACGACAATAACAATAAGCCAAATTAAGTTTATGCCGATAGCTTAGATAGCTTTTTATTTGCATATTCAAGTCTTTCTAAAATATATGTTGCTCTTTTTTTTTTGTCCACAGAGAATGCACAGCTTAATGTATTTATTGTGCCATATATATCCAAGAGTTCTCGCTTTGGAAGCAGCCGAGATATAAGGAAGACTGAGCAGATATATGATCAGACATGTGTTTGACAACAATAGACAATATGGTATCGGACAATGGAAGCCAAAGACTCATAACAGATTGAAGTATAGATTTAGGATCCTCTTTTTGAAGTTCGCGGGGAGGTATAGAAAAATTGAAAGACTTCATAACTTTCTCAAACATCCCCTTGTTTCTATCAGCTTCCACAGTAGCTTCATAAACCTGCCAAAGTGGCTCAAGAAGAAATTGCACAAGAACATATGCATCTAGATATGTTTAGAATGGGTGGCTTAAACAAGCAGGGAAATACACTGTCAAGAGTGGCTATACGTGGAGAAGGGGACACGGAGAGGAATGGCCATTCTGGAGAGTAGTATGGAACAACAACAGTATCCCTAAGCATCAATTCACATGTTGGTTAGCTATGCATGAAAGATTACTAACCAAAGAAAGACTGAAGGCAATGAATTTGATCACTGATATGAAATGTGATTTGTGTGGAAGCAAAGACAAGAATATAGAGCATCTATTCTTCAAATGTGCTTTCTCTCAAGCATGTCTAACAAACATAATGAAGTGGCTTCAAATAAATATAGTTCAGCAAGATATAAATGGATGGTGGAATAGAATTGCTAGAAAGG